TAATTTATTGTTTAAATCTCTCTCTATATTTTTTTTGCTGCTTCTACAACAGGTGCCATAACTCGAAGGACGTATTAGGGAAGAGCCTTGCGGAGCTGCAGAAACAGTTTGCTGAGATCTTAGCTCGTTCCCAGCAAGAAAATGAATTGGCCCAGGCCAGAGAAAGAGCGCTCCAGAAAGAGGTGGCTAGTCAGCGGGCTGAGCTGGAAGAAGCCCAAGAAAAGTATAAACTGGCCTGCAACAGAGCTGCAGAAATCAAAGTAAGTGGGGGGGGAGGCAAATTATAACCAGTGGGAGGAAAGGTCACTCAGCATTTTGTCAGAAATCTTTTTATAAATAATATGTTGTTTACATGGGGCACTTTTTCCTCAATTCTGCAACTAGTATTCTGCGGAAAATCTTTGGCTTGATCCTTAATCCTTACCTGCGTCTAATTAAACAGAACTCTGTCTCATTTTATTTCTCATTATATTTGGCTGCTTTCCTATTCCCTTGCTCTTTAACTACAATTATGAAGACTTTAAGGCAACGGGCCCCAACCCTAAGGGTTGAGACCTTAAGGGTATTGCTGAAGATCAGAGCTCCTCTATAAAAACAGCTGTTGTTATAATAAAAAAATGACTATTAAAATTATTAATACAGCAGGAAAAATTGTAAGTAAGTGGGAAGGAACGGGGATGATACATTTCATTTCATTTCATGTTTGTTTTAGTAAAATAAGATTTCCTTCCCACTTTTTCTCATTCCCACTTTTTAAACTAAAAACAAATTCCTGCCTTCTTTTTTTGCATCGCTGGGAGTGCCTGATATTGACAAGAAACACTTTATTAATACTGTTCACTGACTTTCCTTTGTTACTTGTATTTATCTAGATCCAATCCTTAGTATCACTCGCCCTTTTACTTCCTGCCTTTATCTAGATTAAATCCGAGAGGAGGCAGAACGAGGCTCGTGTTCAGCAGTTAGAGGGTGAAATCCAGCATCTCGTTGAAAAGCTGAAGAGCATGGAGGAGATTCAGGGCCTTACCGATCAACAGCTTCAAGAAGCTGATGAGGAAAAAGAACAAATCCTTGCTGAGCTGGAAGACTTGGAGAATCAGGTGGGGTTATCTCCTCTTGAAGGTCTACAAAAATATCTAGCTGTTGATTTGTTTTTTAGTGTGGATGCATTCAGTTGGAAAGATAGGATAGGATAGGATAGNGGATCTTGGAGGTTTTATAATCCAACCTCCTTGATGAGAGAGATCAAAAATTATTTTATAAAAAGTGCAAAAATAATTTCATTGGAGGTTTATTTTGGTAGAACAAAATGATTTCCAATTACACCAAAACCCAAATACTCACAAAAGATGGTGACTTCCGTAAAGAGCAGGAGTGCAGGGTGCCCAGCATGTTGCAGGATCACAAATATAGTCTAGGAAGATTTGAAAGTAGTTTCAAACAATTTATTGTTTCTTTTACACAATAAGCCTCACATATTCCAAGCATTACCCAGCTGAAACAAGTTGTGTAAATCAAAATACATAAAGATAAAATACATAAAAGTGTGATCTTTTATTTAAATATTTCATTTTAAGGCTGACAAAAAGTCACATAATCATAAACATTACAGACAAAACAATAACATACCATGATGGGTTAAAATGACATTTTTTGATAAAAGAAACCACAGTTGTCATCGAAGGATTTGTCTCCAAAGAAAGAAAACACAACTTCAATGTTGAAACATTTTAATATCACAACAGGTATCTCTTGGTGAAGAGATGGTGATAGGAAAGAATACATTAAAAATAGGCAACAGATAACATATTTTGTCTATCATTAGCATCATAGCAACTTAACAGCAGTAAGTCAGGAGTAAAACACCTGTAATCCCAAAAATACATGTCAAACAGAACATTTCCAATTGAGAGATATTTCAGGAACAACAGGCAACAAATGTGGCAAAAGAAATCAACATTCTTGAGATGAGCGCTATATACTGTGTGTCATGATTAACATTTACCGATCAAAAACATAACATAACATTTTCAACAACAACCCCAGCTAAAATTATTCCAAAGTGGAAAACTAGAAACCTTCTATCAACAGCCACACCTAACATTAAAAAGAGCGGTTGAGGCTTTCTTTCTGGTTCTAAGAACAACTGCCATGGCTATAAAACTATAAAATCTATTATAAATTACCGGCACACTTAGCATTAAAAGGGGCCGTTGTTTTTTGGTTCTAAAAACCAACATTATGTGCCTAAATTAAGCAGGCAACAAATCTACTCAGGATTTCAATGGCCATATCTTGAATTAAAAAGGGCAGTCCAGATTCATTTTCCAGTTCGAGGACCTAATGTCTCACCCTAGCAAAAGAGAAGCTATTAATTTGTTGAAATGGCAATGACTTGTATTAAAGTGCATCGCCACGTTAACTTTTAGTTCTAACAGATCTGGCTGCTACTGATACTATTTCTAAGAATGTGGAGGAGGAGGAGGACTGGTGATCCAAAAGGATTCCCTTCCAGTTTGAATGTCGTTGGGGATCCTCAGGGACTGGGAGAGCCTTCTATCTGAGCCCACTGGACTCTCTCAGTGTGATTCGCCCTCAACACTCACTCAGGGACTGAAAGGGTCACCCAATGGAACCCCAGACACATCCAGTGTGAGTCTCACAGAGGGTCTGCTCAGGGATTGAAAGACCTCCCACCAGGAGGCGCCGTGGCATTTCCACCATCATGTGTGGGTGGTGTCTGGTGTGAGTCACAATGGCCTCGGAAACAGTGCAGCCTTTCTCCCAAGAAACGGACCCCATCAACTCATCTGTGCTCATACATGAACCTAGGTAGGCTACAAATGTGGAGGACAACTGGTGATCCAAAAGATCCCCTTCCAGTTTGAATCCCTTTTAGGATCCTCAGGGACTGGGAGAGCCTTCTATCTGGGCGCTCTGACTCTTCCAGTGTGATTCACCCTCACCGCCCGCTCAGGGACTGGAAGTCCTCCTCCACCAGGAGGCGCCGTGGCATTTTCACCATCATTTGAGCACAGGTGGAATCAGGAATAGTGCATCTCCCTTTGAACTCACTTGTTTCACGAACTGCACTGAGACTGTTCGTCACTGGCCACGTGTCACATTGACTCAATGGGTAGGGAGGGAGGCGATCCAAAAGGATCCCTTTCCAGTTTGAGTGTCGTTGGGGATCCTCAGGGACTGGGAGAGCCTTCTATCTGAGCGCCCTGACTCATCCAGTGTGATTCACCCTCACCGCCCGCTCAGGGACTGGAAGACTTCCTCCAACAGGAGGCGCCGTGGCATTTCTACTACCATCCGTGGGTGTCTGGTGTGAGTCACAATGGCCTCGGAAACAGTGCAGCCTTTCTCCTGAGAAACGCACCCCATCAACTCATCTGTGCTCATACATGAACCTCGGTAGGCTACAAATGTGGAGGACAACTGGTGATCCAAAAGGATCCCCTTCCAGTTTGAGTGTCGTTGGGGATCCTCAGGGACTGGGAGAGTTCTGACTCTTCCAGTGTGATTCACCCTCACCGCCCGCTCAGGGACTGGAAGTCCTCCTCCACCAGGAGGCGCCGTGGCATTTTCACCATCATTTGAGCACAGGTGGAATCAGGAATAGTGCATCTCCTTTTGAACTCACTTGTTTCACGAACTGCACTGAGACTGTTCGTCACTGGCCACGTGTCACATTGACTCAATGGGTAGGGAGGGAGGCGATCCAAAAGGATCCCCTTCCAGTTTGAGTGTCGTTGGGGATCCTCAGGGACTGGGAGAGCCTTCTATCTGAGCGCTCTGGACTCCTCCAGTGTGATTCATCCTCAACGCTCACTCAGGGACTGAAAGGGTCGCCCAATGGAACCCCAGAGAGATGTCCAGTGTGAGTCTCACAGAGGGTCTGCTCAGGAACTGAAAGACCTATACAAATGGGGTCATCCCTAACATTTCCATGTTGTATTGGTATGTGGAATACTTTTGGCGCGTTATCAAATTATAAGAACCACTTCTATGGCTAAATGATAAAAGAAAACTAATTACTAGATTAATAATCACTGACCACACCTAACTTTAAAAGTGGCCAGAGACATTCTTCTTGGTTTTAAGAACCCTTGCCGGACCTAAAATTAAGGTGGAATCTTATATACACAATGGACCACACAGATTTAAAAAGAATAGACGACTTTTTTCTCTGGTTCTAAAAACAATCACAATGGGTAAAACTACGCCAAGCAAGAAACCTAGAAACTCTATTACTTATCAACAGCCACAGATAGCATTAATATGTGTAGTGTGGTGTGTAAACAAGAGTGACTTATCATTTCAGAAATTCTTCTACAGTTCACTTTTGATTGATGTCAAGTAGCCTTCTTCAAGGAGATCATATTCATTCTTGTGTTCCATTTCTTCTTCTTGCATTTTCACCCTCAATCTTCTGTCTTCTACGATGCTCCTGGTACATGCCTTTGAGAAAAAAATAAAATGAACATTACTTCAGCTGCCACTGCAGTTTTAACGCTAAGAATGTGCAATCCACTGTGGTTACTACTAGTATTACCTCAGCCGCAGGTGTTACCCTTACTTACCTAGGAAGAATGGACCATCGAGTAGTGGAAGACCAACCCCGCCCCCTCCGAATCCCAAAACTTGGAAGAATGCAACTCTCAACTGAACCTACCTCACAGCGTGAAGGCCACGTCACAGCCAAAGGCTAACTGGGCATGAGCTGGAGACTTTTTCTTCATCTCTTCTTCCTTCCTTCTGTCTTCTTCTNAGGTCTTATTTTCAGGGAAACAGTGTAGTATATGAGAATTCCCTGAGGAAGATAAAATCCGCGAAAGCGTCAGGCGACTTGTCCAAAGTTTTTAGTTATTTGTTTAATTGAATTAAGAATATAGTAGAAAGATCTATTGGTTAAATCAAAGGTGAAATAAACTATCCAAAACATCTCATGGTTCAGATTGCTGGCTTTGCAACCTAACATCCCTGGACTCCTGCATTATTTCTCCTGTTTTAGGATGTTGAATTTGACAACACACCGGGTGAAAGTCCTTACATTGGCAAGGCCAGGTACAAAAGGAACATGTTTGCTATGGAAGGTTACATCCCGAGAAAGGCTCAGCAGATGCAGATGGGAAACCTGGAGAAGGAGGAACATCAAGAAGCCCAGCAGCTTAAACAGAATCTTCTCCAGTCGCTCGATGAACAGCTTGAGGAGAAAGAGAGGAAGATTAAAGAAGGTATTAACAGCTTTCCTTGTCCTACCTTGAAATCACGAGCCGCGAGCTTACGCCTCTGTGCGTTGGGGTGACCTCTCAGGAACGTTTGATTGATGTTGATCTATCAATAAATGAATCGAGTCCCTTGCCATTAAGATGACCTGAAATAGACAGCTCTTCATCTCACAGGTTTAGCCAGCATGGTAGATTCCAGTAAGCTGCACTGAAATAGCTTCAGATTTAAAGTCAAATGATGTGGCTCTATGGATCTTTTTTTTTTAAAAAAAACCCTTCTCTGATCCTCAGCAGCCTCTCCAACCCCATGTGTGAAAGAAAAGGGACTTTAAAAGCTTTGGCAGCAATTATTATTTAAACATTAAATGGTTTGCTTTTCTAACAGGAGAGATATGCCTTTCACATCGCCGGCTTCTAATCCATTTCAACCGAATCTTAATTTTTCATTTTTTTTTTCAGCCCAGGAAGAATTGGCCACGTTGCACAACAAAGTCGCCAAGGCAGAGCAACAGGTCTTAAAAGTCACCGAGGAGCTTAAACAAATCGAGGATGCAGTCTCCCAGAAAAAGGTATGGACAAATGAGTGTGACAGCCAGACTAGCTATGCTCATCCAGTGTGCTGAGCCATATTTCTGCTTTGCCATTCATGTGTTGCGTTGAACCCAATACACCAAAGATTTTTAAAAAATGGTTTCATGCGAGATATAAGCTATTAGTCTTTTTGTGCCTAAAGGATAGAATTTCAAACATGGCAGTTTAAGGCTCTTAAACTGGGGAAGTGAGGACATGATGAGCAAAACATTAAAACCACCCTTCATCTAGAATGGGAAAAATAGCACAGACTTGGCATTTTATCTTCCATTTTTGTCATTTATAGCAATGTTGCTGAGCATCAAAAGACAGGAGACTGACCCAGAAACCCCTTGAAAGCTACAGTCCTGTGCACTTATATTTGGAATTAATTTCCATTAATTCAAGGAAGGTTGACATCTAAGCAGGAGTGGGAACCCCAATTTCTGAATTGAAATACATTCCAAGTTTTTGTACCTAAGCTTCTAGCTTGAGGATCTTTCATGTGCTCCTTCTTTCCCAGGTTTCTTTGGTTATACTCTCTGCATTTTCAACTCCAGGTATCTGAAGTAGAAAAGGACTGTTTTCGGCAGCAGCTGAGCAACAAGATACGATTCGTTCATCAGTTACAAGAGGAGGCTCTGGAACTAGAGAGACAGATGCAGAAACAACGGCAAGAAATGGCAGAAAAGGAAAAGGAAGTAGAAGGCTTGCAAAGTTTCCTGGATTCTCTGGATCCTAAAGATCCCAGACATGTAAGTGTGGACATATCTTCCCATTTTAAAACGGGTTGCTTTCTTTTTTAACTAGGATCTGTTCTGTCAAAGAAACTCAACTCGGCTTTGAGTTTTTGCCAGCTACGTCAAGTCCGATACCTCTGTTTATTCCAATTGGTCTGCAGGAAGTTTGGATGCGGTTTGACCTACCCAGAGTTCCCTTAGCAAAGCCAACTTTTTTCATTAAGCCAAATTCTGCACTTTTTCTAGAGTCTCAACATCTTTTTTATAGTGTGGTGACCAAAACTGGATGCAGGATTCTAGGTGTGGTCTTACTAGGGGTTTATAGAGTGGTATCAGTACCTCACTTGATCTTGATTGTATCCCTCNTTCATTAAATTAGCCATGCCCAGATCCTGCAGCCGCTTGTCATGTTTTAGTCTCCAGCCCGCTAATCATCTTTGTTGCTCTTCCCTGCACTTTCTAGAGTCTCCACATCTTATATGTTATGAAAATGAAAAAATAAAAAACGTTATAACAAATAAAAAAGAACAAACTTGTCAGTTGAAAACGAAAAGAGCAAGCAATGTGTTTTCCCTGATTTTAGTTTAAGCTAGTTTCCAGCAGTGACTGGCTCTTTTGTATACCAGTAGAAACATGCCCAAGGGAAAGAATATAGAAACCATCAAAGGCAGTTTTTTAAAAAAAATAACAATATAAATGTGAAAGTGTCCATCTAAGTAGAGAACAGATTATGCAGAAATAGCTATACGCCTTCCGAACACAAGCTCAAATCTTACTTTCAACTCTGGCTTTATCTTTTAAAAAGTAGGGTGTCACCTTGATACCTGCAATCTAGGCTTGTAATTGGAGACAGAATGGAAGCAAATTAGGGCAAGCACTGAAGGGATTTCTTGAGTGGATCCTGCTACATTAGAACTGTAAAAGCTTTACAGTTTTTTAACTGTAACATCTGCTGAAGTGTTTAGGCGCTGAAGGGGAACCACAACTTCCGGAAAAGAGGCAAGCAGTGAGAAAGCAAAGATGGAGCCGTAAAACTAGACTGCCTGGGGAACGTGTCTTCTAACTGATTTCCCTTATGAAAAGTTTGTGCAGGACAGGTTAATATTTTAGAGGGGACTTGGTTTAAAAGTTGCTGACTTCTCTGATTTTATGGTGAAGCATCTGCTAAATTGGTTATGCCGTTTGGAAAGCACAGGTCTCTTTTCTTTCAGCTTTTTGCCGTATGACACGCACAGGTCTGTGCGATGAGGAGAGGCCAGCCACAGAAAACATCCTTGGGGAAGCCACAGATGTCTCTGTCCCGCTCTCGGAGTCCAAAGTCTCCTGCAAGCATTCGTAGCAGGTCATCGTCTCCACTGGACACAGAAGGAATTCTGTTGACCCACCAGCCAGCTGGTCAAAGATATCAAGGAGAGGTTGATCGAGAAAGCGATACAGGTATCATAATAATCGGATGTCGGATTATATAAAGCGTTGCAGTTTTCCTTCAGGGACTTTGCTTAGGAGATCTAAACAATGGCTCTTTTTTATTTTTTGTAAAATATACACTACAGAAAGTCCTCAATTTACAACTGCTCATTTAGTTGCAACAGCACATGTTTAAAATGATTTATGAGCGTTTTTCAGGCCAGTTCACACCATTTGAAGTGGGTGGAGTGGAAGGATGGTGCTTTTCTCCTGCTGGTCTTTTTCTATTTTGTATTGAATGTTTTATATTAAAGTTTTTGTATTGTGTGGCACCCAGAGTGTTAACAGAGTTGGCAGCTTGTTCGTTTAATACAGCATTTCCCAACCTCAGCCATTTTAAGAAGTGTGGACTTCAACTCCCAGAATTCACCTCTGTGGCTTTGATGATATTTAGCTTGTTCCTTGTTCTGTTTCTATATCACTTACTACCTCAAACTCGTTGCTGTTTTTTCAGATGGCAGTCCAGGTACCCGATACATAACAGAGACTCTTATTAAGAAGCTCACCAAGCAAGAGAATCTTTCACGCGTAACCGCTCTGAATCTTTCTCTTAGTAAAGATGGAGGGAAGAAATTTAAGGTATGTGTCTGGTGCTTTTACTTTAATAACCCTCAACCACAGGCAAATAAGAAATTATAGGAATTGTGTAAATAAACTTAATCTAAAGAAACACTTTCTAATGCTTTATAGTGTGCACTGCAGAACTGAATAGATGAACCGAACAGCATATTTTTATTCCTTTCAGTACATAGAAAATCTGGAGAAATGTAGTAAACTGGAAGTCCTAAATCTCAGTCATAATCTGATCGAAAAGATTGAAAAATTGGATAAACTTCTGAAGTTACTGGACCTCAATCTCTCTTTCAATAAAATAAGGTGAGCAAGAAAAAAGAGTGAATAGTTACAAAGCTTTTCTTGAGGTTTTTTTTAAAACCAGATAAGGTCGTTCCCATTTTTTAAACTTGCATCAGCCAGAGACTAATATGTTACAAAATGAAGAAGATAACCTTTCACATTCTTCTTAAACTCCCAATAAACCCTCTCGATTTCACTTTTCAGTATCTTAGCACTTTTGTGATAAAAGGATACAAGTACACAGAGGTAGTCTAAGAAGTACATGGAAAAATAAAACAAGCCAATGTATATCAGCAAACTTCCTGTAAGTTAAGATGCCCTTGTATTCTGGTAACTTCTTAGCTTTTTATTTAAGCTGAGGTGTTGTTAAGTTCTTCTAATCCTGGCCTGTGGAGTGGAAATTTTTTATCACAGTTCTTCTATTGTGTAAAAACTAACATTCATGTTAAAAATCCAAACTGTTCCTCACCTTAACATGCCGGGTTGTCCACCCATCTCTCTTTTTTTTGTCCAGTAAAATAGAAGGCATTGAACATTTACACAGCCTTCAGAAGCTGAATCTGGCTGGGAATGAGATTGAACACCTCCCTATGTGGTTGGGGAAAAAACTCCAATCCCTTCGCATCCTGAATTTAAGAAAAAATAAAATCTCATCCGTAAGTTATTTTCCACCCTACAACAATGTTTATTATTAGAGGATTGGGTACCATTGTACCCATCATTGTGATTGTTTAAATCCTTCCCAACATATGACAATATCTGAAAACAGTTCGGCTTCCTTGGAATACTAGCAATACCTTTATTGACTGTTAATAAAGAGCTGTGGTGGCACAGTGGTTAGAATGCAGTATTGCAGGCTAACTCTGCCCATAGCCACAAGTTTGATGCTGACCAGCTCAAGGTTGACTCAGCCTTCCATCCTTTCAAAGTTTGGTAAAATGAGGACCTAGATTGTTGGGGGCAATGGGTTGACACTATAAAATGCTTAGGGAGAGCTGTAAAACATTGCAAAGTGGTATATAAGTTATTCTAGTCTAATGTATGGGTGCAGGTATATAGTGTAAAGCACTATGAAGCAATATATAAGTCTAAGTGCTATTGCTATTGCCAAAGGAACCAACTTCCAGAGTCATGGGATAACCAGTTGCAGAATCCTATGACTGCAGAAAGTCACTATAAATATATCTTTTTGCTCTCTGTTGGAAAACAAGGACGGGGGGGATCACATAATTTGGAGTAAACATTCCCTAAAGCTAAAAAAAGAAAATGTACTCTCCCACACAAAGAAGCATTTTGTGGGTCCTTAAAATGCTCTTCATTGCCTTCTATTTTTGGCTCTATTGCTGTATATTTGTAAAGCTCTATGAAAGCACTATAGTAGAAAAAGCGGGTAATTTTTAAAGATTTCCCTTATTTAGAATTCAGCTCAGTTTCTCTTTGTGTAGCATTCACACAGACTTCTTTTCAGTAGTATCTATCCAATAGATATTTTAACTCCAGAAATTAACATGATGCATCATAATTGGTAGAACTTCTTCATGGTTACATCAATTTCTATTCAGTTTTATCATAAAAGAACCATTTAGCTTATCATTTCGTGGACTGTTGCATTACTTATCTGTTGTAGAAAACTAATTTATGCCCCAGCGTCTTAATTCCTGCACCTTTTTATTATTTATTTATTCCCTGTATTTATTTGTTATTTAAATTATTAATTGTCTATTATTTCCTTTCAGCTCCACGAAGTAGCCAAACTGAAGCCTCTTAAAGATTTGACTTCTCTGTTCCTGGCAGACAATCCGGTGGTAAACCTACCTCACTACCGTCTCTATACCATCTTCCATCTGAGGTCATTGGAAGATCTTGAGGGCCAGCCGGTGACGAATTGTGACAGGGAAGAAGCCCTTGAAAGATTTAATTTAGGTACGTAAGTGCCAGTTCGAACNTAGATAAGGTCTGTGGTCATAAATATTCCTTTGAAAAGACTGCCAGGCCTTGCTGAATGTGAATGAGAGGAATTCACATTCATTTAATAAAAGGGGTTTTGTCAGGACCAGGACTCTGCTTCGTGCTTTTTGGGGAAGCCAAGGTTAGAACATTTAATTCTTCTTCTTTGACTAGTCATAGTGCTTTTGATTCCCCCTTCTAGACAAAAGAGACTATTCAGAAATACAACACCGCTAAGCAAAACTTGTCTTGCACCGAGAAAGAAGCGGAGGAACTTGAACGACGAACTCGGGAGATGGCTGTAAGGCTTGTGAAAGCAGATCAGGAGCTCAGGTGAACATAAGTGACTTTTAAGAGCACGCTCTTCATTCCCAACGTAACAGGGCCAGATGGTGGCTGAGAAGATTGGGAACACAGCAGTCATAAAGCGTTCTTGCTTCTGATTTAACTAACGGTTTGCTTTTATGGGCATGTAACAGTTGCTCTGGGGGAAGAATTGGTATGGCAGGTGGCCTGTATATTTATGCACACCCATCTTTCTTAATTGACAGTCGATTTAATGGCTTTGATCATCGTCTGCCATTCTCCGTATTTACTCAGCTTCCATTTTTATTTAACTACGATGTTGACTTCAGCGCACGTTTAGCCGTTTTATTATGAACCTCTCCCTAAGCTTGTCAAAATCAGAACATCATCCCTTAAATCAAACAGCAAACTCAGTTTCCAAACACGGATCCTCCAAAATCCAAAACAAGATTGCTCATGCCCTCAAGAGTGTGAAATCCCCTAGGTTACCCATGGTTTCTTTGCAGGAGTGCAAAATAGGATACAAATACAAAAAAGAGAATAAAAAGATGTCATCAAACCCTCTTCCTAAGGTCCACTCAGGAAAACGAAACAGATAAAAGCTCAAAAATTATTTGGTTGTTGTTTGTGTGTTCAGCGGTTCGAATCCCTAGCGCCATGAGTGAGCTCCCGTGACTTGTCCCAGCTTCTGTCAACCTAGCAGTTCGAAAGCGCATAAAAATGCAAGTAGAAAAATAGGAACCACCTTTGGTGTGAAGGGAACAGCGTTCCATGCGCCTTTGGCNATCAATAGCCTCACCTACCATTAAAAAGGGCCATTGAGGTTTTCATTCAGGTTCTAAGAACCATAGCCAAAGCTAAATTATGCCAGGCAGAAATCTATAAAATCTGTAATTAATCAATAGCCTCACCTAGCATTAAAAAGGGCCATTGAGGTTTTAACACTATGATTGACATCAGACCATCAAGAAGAATGTGCCAATCAAAGAACTTCCAAAGAAGCTAAGAAGAAAGAGTGTAAGAAAGAGCCTCCAAGACTGAAAGCAAACTACACTACCTTCCAGTACTGGTGTTCCCTACTCTCCTAATGAAAAGTCTACAAGAAAACCACTAAGCTCTGAGGCCTCTTTTCAACCAGGAGCCATAAACCTTCTCCTTTATTGCTATCTCTCCGTTCGAAAAAGTCTGGCTGGCACTGGCATTATTTCTAAGGGTGTGGGAGGGAGGTGATCCCAAAGGATTCCCTTGCGGTCTGAGTCTCACTGAGGGGGTCCTCAGGCACTGGAGGAGGCTTCTAGCTGAGCGCTGTTGTCTCTTCCAGTGTGATTCGCCCTCACTGCTGGCTCAGGGACTGAAAGGGTCCCCCATGGGCAACCCCAGAGAGGACTTCCAGTGTGAGTCTCCCACAGTGTCTGCTCAGGGCTTCAATGAGACAGGTAGTGAATTAACTCCCGGGCTCATTCAGCCTGAGTGTCACAGAGTGGAAGCTCAGGGACTGAAAGACCTCCATAAATAGGGGCATCACCCCCATCTCCAGTTGTGTTTGTATGTGGAATGCTTGTATGGGCTCTAAGAACCACAGCCAATAGCCAAAATTATGTTACATCAGAAATTTTTGATACACTATGTTTGTCACACTATGACTGCTCTTTTTACCAATGATACTATGTAATGTTTCCTGTTTAAGAAAACCTTTGCTAAAGCAAGCCTTGACTTAGGATAAACTTTAGCAAGGCCCAAAGATTTTTGTTGTTGTAAACATGTTGCAAACAGTACCTGCCAGGCTTCATTTTCATGATACACTGACGAGTAAATGAAACCATCACTGTAAAGTAAATGAAACCATCTGTCTTACTGTTGATGTCTTCTTCTTCGTCAATTTGGATTCATGCCTTTGTGATAAAAAAAAAAAATCAATGTCACAAAATGTCCAACTCATGTTCAGAGACTAGAAAACTAATCAAGTAATTTTACAAAGGGGCTTTCATTTGCTTTATCCTACATGAAAGAAGGCATGGTAGAATGAAATGGAACGTTGTGCCCTTAAGAATACCTCAGGCCATAGGTTTGACTGTTCCTACCCTAAAGGTATGGCCTCTAGTCCCAGCACTTTCTCTTACTCTCTAGGAACAGAAAACTCTCATGCCCTGAGAATTTACCTTCCTGCAAGAAAGTAAGGTCAGCTCCTGGACTTGAAGTAGTTTTAGTTAAGTTTAACTATTAGTTACTTGAAGTAGCTAGTCCTGTTACAAGTTTTGCTTCTTGTAAGGACTTGAGCCTTGGCTAAATTTACCTCAGGCACAAAGAATTCACTGTATTCCCAAGGGCACAGTCAGCTCAAGGCAATTTTACTTTTAAAGCTAATTTTAACTCTTCCTACTCCCTTCAATGGGACATGGCTGAAATTACCTCAGGTTCCACCAGCCTTTAACCCTCAAGAACTTGAGCCTTGGCTAAAATTATCTCAGTTCTCAAGAACTGACTTTATTTGAAGAAAATAAGCTCAACTCCTGGACCTGAAATAATTTTAGTTAACTTTTGCTTTTAATTGACTTGAATTTGGTTTCTTTTAAGGAGTCTTGACTAAAATTTCCTCAGGTCCCAAGAGTTGACTTTACTCAAGAAAGCAAGAGCAACTCCAGGTGCTGAAGCAATTTTGTCTTTAAAGCTAATTGTAATGCTTGTTCACCTGTGGTAATTTAGCCCTTTTTAGCTGCACCTGGCTAAAATAACCTCAGCCTTATTCCTTGGAGTCAAATCAGCTCCCGAAGTAATTTTAATTTTTTCACCTTCACTTAATTGCAATTCATTTTTTTAAAAAAATCTTCAAGGAAATGGCTATTATCTCAGACTTTACTCTGAAGCTCATTTTAACTCTTATTCATCTATGGTGGTTNGGACAGTGAGGAGGTTGGGGAGGAATATGGGCCAGTCCTGGGGGCTGACAGAAGCTCAGATGAGGGCTCTGCGTCAGAGGCAGAGAGGGAGCTAGACAGCAGTGAGGCAGAGGAACAGCTGGAGCCTGTTTCCAGTGTGCGCATGCGCAGAGCTGCCAGAAGACAAGAACAACTAAGAAAGCAGGGTAGACTTGGGAGTAAAGCCACACTTTGGAAGTGGTTGGCTCCTCCCAGAGGAAACGAGGACACACCCTGGACTGCCCTGAAGTCTGATCAATAAAGACTTGTTTCTACAACTGAACGATTTCTCATTTTGGCAGACTGCCGTTCAGCAGCAAGAATTACACCTGGTGGACCGATTGCTGGATCAAAAAAGGAACGAGCTACGTCACCTCCAAGACAGCATTGCTGAGAAAAACGCCAACTTTGCAGAAGCTCTCGGGAACGGGGAGGCGGAGTTAACCAAAAAACGGCAACTAATAAAGGTTTTTTTTAAACTTCCCGTCACATTTATAGCTTTTTAAAAAACGGTTCTTGCTTTTTCAATTTCTTGGAAGTTTTATTCAGAAAATCTTTTGTTAGATTTGGTCGTTCGGATATTTCTGTTGTTTTAATCCGCTCCCATTTTAAGAATTGTTCTCATTTTCCAAAACATTCGGAACACCCCTGTTTTTAGAAATGGACCGTTTCGATTGCAAATAGAATTTATAAAATGTGTTAATTTGATCAGTAAATGAAAATTGTAACTATACAAAGTAAATTTAACAGCCTACCCCCAATCACTCCCACATAGGCAGATCTCAACTGAACCATTTTGCTGAAGTACTGTTGTCACAACTGATGAAGCTACCTGGATGAGAAGTGAAACTTTTTCTTTCTTAAAAAGTAGTCCAGTTGCCTTCAATTCTTTCTTCACCCTTTTCCTAGGAAACAAAGGCTTTTCTAGAAGACCTGAGTGTTCAAAAGGGAGAACTCAATGCCCAGCTAAGCGAGAAAAGATCCCAGCTTTCTCTCGTAATGCAGAATATCCATAAAGAAGAAACAAAGCTACAGGATATCCTGGGACTGATAAAGAAGCATAAGACAGGTTTGGCTTTAAAAAAAAAACCCAAAACCCTTTAGCCACATTTGCAGCTTTTTAGATACCTATCTCTTGGGGCTCAGTGGCTAAGACGCTGAGCTTGTCGATCAGAAAGATCGGTGGTTTGGCAGTTCGAATCCGTAGGTCCGGGTAAAGGGGTGAGTTCCCATTACTTGTCCCAGCTTCTGTCAACCTAGCAGTTTGAAAGCATGTAAAAATGCAAGTAGAAAAATAGGGACCACCTTTGGTAGGAAGGGAACAGCGTTCCGTGCGCCTTCAGAATTGAGTCATGCCGGCCACATGACCACAGAGACGTCCTCGGACCGAGCTGGCTCTCTGGCTTTGAAACGGAGATGAGCACACAGACCCCTTAGAGTTGGGAATGACTAGCACATATACTGTATGCGAGGGGAACCTTTATATTTACCTATATACCTACCAATATTTCAATGAATGCCTTTTCTGCCATGCATTAGAACTGAAGCACATGCTGGAGACGGCACATCTGGGAAAAGAGGAGGTCGAAAATCTGAAATTCCAGCATAACCAAAAGGCGAACGAGTTGGAAAAAATTGAAAGGTTGCTTCTAGAGGTAAAAGAAAAACACTGATAGTTGTGGTTGAGTTTAGGAATCCCTGCCTTGAGCTTCTTGCAGATATCCTTGGTTAATCTCACTTTTCTAATAAGGAGAAAGCCGCATCTCCACTAATACAGGCAGGGCAAGCTACTGTATATAAACAGAGACCAATCCCCACTCTCATTGTAGCGCTGATGATGTTACCTTGTTGCATAATAAAATGTCTGCAAGTGAATGGCTAAGCTAAGAGAGCACCGACACATGACTTACAGTGTGTTTCCCAGTTTATAATTTTTGCTTATATTTGGGTGATGTCTTTATTATCTTATGATTTTGATTTTTAGTTACTCAGAATCTTGGGAATGGGCAGCATACAAATGATAATAATAATAATCAGTCAGTGATATTTGTGATACATTTTTAAATGTTCAGTTGACTGAGTTTCATGTTTAATAATCCCTTGCTGCCCTATTATGCAGCAATGAGGGTGCAGTGATCATTATCTCCTTTTAACGACCCCATAATCCCTTGCGGGGTGGAGTCTGGGCAACTGCACAGAGCTATCAAAGTGTTTACTGGCTAGATGCCCTTCCTGTTGCCAATGCAGAGTTTTGTTCAGCAGAGATATTCTCATTGTGCCCAGAGAGAGAGAAATATCTGCCTCTACCCGGGATCGAACTCACAGCCTCCTGATCGTGAGGCGAGAGCTTCACCACTCCACCTCTAATGAGGATGCAGTGATGGGGGAGTTCAATTTTGGGGCAGCTGTCTTTATGCAGACATTTTTTTAAACCCCAGGAGAAGCTGGAACTGGAGAATCTCCAGCAAGCATCCCAACGCCAACGAGGGGAGGTCGAGTGCCAGAGGCAGCTTCTCCAGGAGGCCCAGCAGGAAGCTGAGCGTCTGACTTCTCAGCTCCACCTTCTGCAAAACCACGTCAAGGCTCTAAACGATGAGAAGCAACAGCTGGAAGCCAGCTGTGAAAACCTAGAGGAGAAATTCTCCCAAAGCAAAAGGTGAAGATGGCAATTTGGAAAGAGATGTTTTCTGACATTGCAAATAAAAAAATCCCCAAAGTGGTTGTTGTATAGGAACATACAGATAGTCCTCAAACTTACAGCACGAACTGAAGATGTTTTGCTTCTTGTCCAAGAAGCTTCTTCGGTTCTTCTTCTTCAGAGCTGAAGAAGCTTCTTGGACAAGAAGCGAAACGTCTTCAAAGAAAAAACAACACCCAGTTGCCTTTTGAAAAAGCACCTGTGGCACAAGCGTGGATGTTGAGAGTCTCCACAGATAATTTGTGAAGTAAATGCGTGGCTTTTTATTTTGACAGAACCTTGGTCTCTACAGAAGATAGCAATAAAATGATTCTCGCCAGCAAGGAAAAATCGGTTTCGGATTTCCAAAAACTGCAGCTTGAAATCAATCAGCTTCACAACCAGAAAATAGTTCTGAACAAGGATATCGCCGAGCTACAGAAGCATTTGCATGGTACGGGATGAGTGTCTTGTGCGGGATAAAACACCATCAAGATTATGATCTTTTTAATCAAATCTTCCCCCTTGCTGTTTTTCTTGGCGATTGACCTCTTGCTCAAAATATTGCAATTATTTTCCCCTTTAGGAAAAAAAGAAGAATTGGAGGTTTTGAAGACAGAACTGAACAATTCCAAGCATTACCTTCAGCTGTTGGAGCAGGTGAGTTTCGTTTAGATTTACTGTTCAGTGTTAAGGATGGGGAAATGTATGGCAGCCAGGAGCCATGTTTTTCCTCCAAGGATGCAAAGCCAGGGCAACAATATAATTCCTCAGCCAAAATCAGACTGTAACCTGCTACAATGATGCTGTTGTTGTTGTTGGTTGCAAAGTCATGTCTGACCCATCGCGACCCCATAGACCTCCAGGCCTTCCTGTCCTCTCCCATCCTCTAGAGTCCATTTAAGTTCACACCTACTGCTTCGGTGACTCCATCCAGCCACCTCTTTCTCTGCCATCCCCTTCTTCTTCTTTTGCCCTCCATCGTTCCCAGCATGAGGCTCTTCTCCAGGGAGTCCTTCCTTCTCATTAGGTGGCCAAAGTCTTTGAGTTTCCTCTTCAGGATCTGGCCTTCTGAAGAGCAGTCAGGGTTGATCTCCTCTAGGACTGACCGGTTGGATGGCCTTGCAGTCCAAGGGACTCAATGCAGGAGTCTTCTCCAGCACCAGAGTTCAAAGGCCTCCATTCTTTGGCGCTCAGCCTTCCTTATGGTTCAACCTTCACAGCCATCCATTGCAATTGGGAAAACCATCGCCTTGACTATACGCCCTTTTGTTGGCAAGGTGATGTATCTGCTTTTTAGGATGCTGTCTAGATTTGCCATCGCTTTCCTCCCCAGGAGAAATCCTCTTTTCATTTCTTGGCTGCATTTCATTTCTGCAGTGATCTTGGAGCCCAGGAAAAGCCCAGGAGCCTGCTACAATAAGGCATGATTTTGTACAGAAAATTAAAAGGGGGGAAAGAAAGTCTATTTGCATTTTTTCTCCTGCAAGCTGCATCCAGCTTCATGTGTAACAATGTCTGACTTTGTAGGCTTCTGAGATTTCCCCACCCATGAGGTTGACCTGCAGCAATTAATGAGCATCTTAAATCTTTCTCTTGCAACATTTCACTCTGGGAGGGCAGGACGTGAAAGAGGCTGCAAAGAAAAAGGAGGAGCTGCTCCAAGAACAGAAGGCCCTCAAAGACACCCTCCATGAATCTTCCAGGAAGTGTAAGGAGACCCAAGGGGCCCAAAGGGAAAAGGAAAACCAGCTACACCGACTGCACAAGGAGCTTGAAGAACAGGAATTGAAACAGGCCGAACAAGAGACGGTACATTCATCTTTTTTCACATTTTGCATTTGACTGATCCACTGGCTGGATTCTTCCTTTTTGAAAATGAGCGAGTTGGGGGGAGAAAAACCAGAAAGGTCGATTCAGGAGGTGAAAGAAGACATTAAGGGAGAAGCCACAATTGATCTCGGATTCGTGGTTCAGTTGCCTCTCCGTACAACAGCTACTCTCTGAGCCCAGTTGTTTAGCACTTACAGGAGTTGGTTTATTATTTATTTAATCCGTACCCAGCCTTTATTATTTGACAAATAACTCAAGGCAGAAAACATATTCCACGCACCTTCCTCCCCCTATTTTCCCCACCACAACAACCCTGTGAGGTGGGTTGGGTTGAGAGAGAGTGGGACTGCTCCAAAGTCACCCAGCTGCCTTTCATGACGACTAAATCAAGACTTGAATTCAGGTTTTCCTGCTTTCTGGTCTGGCCTTCACTATTAGACCAAAAGAGTTAAAAGAGTTTTCAGCCAAGAAACATTTAAAAAGAAAATATGCCAGATTTTTTGGCCTTCGGGGACTTTGTCTTCTGTGGCCAGCAAGGCTTTCCTGAAGGCCTCTGTAGCCGATAACAGAGCTCTGGATCGATCCAGAGCTTTATCATCAGCTACAGAGGCCTTCAGGAAAGCCTTGCCAGCAGAAGAAGGCAAGTGTCGGGGTGTTTTTGGCCTGGCTACAACTGTCCAAAGACCAAGTAGTAGGGCAGCTCCACCCCCCCATCCCCACCCTAGCTTAATTTTTACCCTTGCTCTCTGGAATAGGTGGGACCTTATTTAGGGCTTATTTTGGGGGTAGAGCTTATATTGGGTGCACGTGTAAAAATTAAGCTAGGACTTACTTTCAGGGTAAGTCGTATTTTCGGGGAAACAGGGTATTATGCAAAACACCTTGAAGCAGGGGGAGATTTCAGACCAGTAAAGAAACCAGGCCACCCACCCGTCCCAGTAGCCTCTTAACCCCCAAGCCAGCATAACTCTTGATGGTTTGCTTTCATCTAGGTCCTTCAACAGCTCAGAGAAGATGTCCAGCATGAAGAAAAAAAGCTGGCAGCCTATGCAGACAAACTGAAGCAGCAGAAGCAGCAGCTAGAGCAAGAACTGGAAGAGCAGCAGGGTCAGCTGACACAAGCCGTAGCCAAGGTCCACGAGATGGAGGAACGGATCCGAAAGCTCCAGAAGGGGGAATCCCACATTTCAGCTCTTGAAGGAAAACTCCGCAAAGCCTGTGAGTTGTACTGGGGACTGGGAACATTGGATGTATTTTCATGAGAAATCTGATCTCCATTGAGTAAGAAAGTCAGCATGGTATTGCAGCTAAGGACGAGGGAGAGCGAGATTCAAACCCCAAATTCACTCGGCAACTAGTTGTATACAGTTCAATTGGTGTTTTATCCACTAAAAACATTACCTTTGTAGCATCTTTTTAAATATCCTGAGCTCTCTGCAAAGAAACTAGCATTTAGATATCATGAATTCCACAAGATCCAATCTGAATCAGTCACCGGAACCCCAAGGTTTATTCTTCCAAGCTTTTGGGCTCGTACTGGAACTTCTCTCTCCCAGAATATGCGCACTGGGCTCTTCTACACATTGTATTTTTATGGTTGCTGGTTGTGCGTAGCTTTTATTTGTTTAATTCGGGTGCGGATGACTGGCTATTAAGTTGTTAATTGTTGTTTCCTTGGGACGCCGTGCCCTCAGCTCTTGATAGGCTGGTGGTAAACCAGCACGCCTGTTGTCTGACAAGGGGCCCGTTTCACAGGCTTCAATTATTTCTCTGGCTGTTTTTGTCCCTGCTTGGCCAACAATCTTTATACATTCTCTTAGGGATGTCCTTCAGCAGATGAAAAACAGCACTGAGCACAAACATGCAAGGCTCTTGGTAAGGTTGGTTGGGTAACCAAGACCGACTCCTCTGATTCCAGGGCATCAGCTCTCTGAAAAAGAACAGAAGCTTCAAGAAAAGGCGGGCGAGGTTTCGTCCCTACAAAGAGAACTTGGCCTCTCCAGAGCCGAGGAGAGGCTGCTCCAGGACCGCCTGCAAGCAGACCACGTAAAAGCGGAGAGGCAAATTGCAGCCTTGAAGGAAACCATCAGGGCTCAAAGGGATCAGCTTGAAAAAGCCCTTCAAGTACGTGACTGTCTTTGCCAACCTCCATTCGCTTCGTTTCCATTTTGGGGTGTGTGTGAAAGGAGAGAAAAAATGGCAAGAAATGAGGGGGTTTCTTGAACACGAGGGAGTAGCTGCCTTGTCTCCGGTTCTACCAAACTCTCTGAACGCTTGGAAGATTTTTTTTATCCAAATAAGAGATTATGTTTAATATTTTGTCTCTAGTTTGAAATTGCTTCCGGATTTTGTCTTTGCAATGAGAAAAGAAAAAAAGAAAGAACCTTCGATTCTGCTTTTGTAAATTAGACAAGCTTATTGTTATAGATAGGGACCCGGTGGCTCAGTGGCTAAGACGCTGAGCTTGTTTGGCGGTTCGAATCCATAGCGCCGCATAATGGAGTGAGCTCCTGTGACTTGTCACAGCTTCTGCCAACCTAGCAGTTTGAAACTAGAGTAAAAAATGCAAGTAGAAAAATAGGAACCACCTTTGGTGGGAAGNGGAACAAAAAAAAATCACAAAATATTAGGACTTAAAATTGAAATTCAACGATTATCGCACAAACCAGCAGTGGTAATACCAGTGGTAATTGGCACACTGGGTGCTATTCCAAAAGCACTGGAATTACATTTAAAACAGTTAAAAATTGACAAAATCACCATCAGTCGAATGCATAAAGCCGCACTGCTTGGATCTGCACGCATATTACGAAAATACGTTACGACGTCCTAGGCCCCGGGTGGGGCCCAACTAGTAACCAATGCCAAATCCGGTGATACAACTGGCCGCTGTGATACAATTGTATAATAATAATAATCGGCCGTTGTGATACAATTGTGATGATGATGATGATGATGATGATGATGATGATGATGATGATGATGATGATGATGATGATGATCATCATCATCATACATCCCATAATGCAGTTAAATAATTGTAGACCTCTAAATAGTCTTTTCAGTATATCTAGTTATTTCTGTTCCAAAATACATAGATGAGGGATCGGAATTTAAAATCTAATGTTTTGCTGCCATCGTGTGGCCACTTAAATGCATGGCAGTCAAGATTTTAAATACATCAATTTTGCCTTCTGCTCGTTTTCTTAATTGGTTGCAGAAATCTGCCGAAGGTAAAGGTTAAGGTTCCCCTCGCACATCTGTGCTGCTCGTTCCCGACTCTAGGGGGATGTGCTCATCTCTGTTTCTAAGCTGAAGAGCCACCGCTGTCCGAAGACGTCTCGGTGGTCATGTGGCCGGCATGACTCAACGCCGAAGGCGCACAGAATGCAGTTACCTTCCCACCAAAGATGGTTCCTATTTTTCTACTTGCATTTTTGATGTGCTTTCAAACCGCTAGGTTGGCAGAAGCTGTGACAAATAACGGGAGCTCACTCTGTTACGCGGCACTGGTGATTCGAACTGCTGAACTGCCCACGTTTCTGATTGACAAGCTCAGCGTCTTAGCCACTGAGCCACCGCGTCCCTCTATGCAGATGCATATTAAGCAAATGTATATTTTTATGCAGGAATCTACATACCCACAAATTTGTTTCCACAGCATTTCACTGCGGTGTTTGTACATTTCGCTTGCAAGCTAATATTTAATTCAAGGTATTGTATTGAAAATGTCAATAAGATTTACTTAGGATATGGAGGAATTTTGAATTCAGGAAATGAGACGATTCCGGTAGCATCTTCTTGACGTATGATGTCCACTTCTACTCCATCTGGATCCTTCATGAGACAAAAGAGCACTTTGAAAAAAAGCATTTGTGGAGTTTTATTGAAACTTGACATATTATTCATTACAGTTGGGATGTAGAATGTCTTTTTTTAAAATTCCATGGATGCCCAAATTCTTAAACTTCATCAAATTACATTTTAATAATCTTTTCGTTGGTTTCCAGCTTTAGTCTCCAATTCTCTTTTATTTATAAATAATGATTTGAGGAAGGGACTGCTAGTGAAGATGTCACCTTGGTAAGAAGGAGATTTTTTATCCCTAAAAGTTGCTTTTTCAAAAGGCAGCTGGACTTTCCAGCTACCTTCACAATGGAAGAAGATTTTTGGGTGAGAAGGGAACTTAACTTAACTTAACTTAATTTAACTTAACTTAACCTAACCTAACCTAACCTAACCTTACTTTACACTTTACTTTACTTTATTATCATTGCACCTCATACAACGAAATTAAATGTCATCTTCCATGTACATTATACATAAAAAATAAACCCAAAACACACCTTCTTTACATTCTTTATAATTAAAATTGAAAACCCCTGAGATTGCATTAATATTGCAATATACAGTAGAATTCAATATAGTTACTGCTCTGGGATAGAAGCTGTTTTTCAGCCAATTTGTTCCTTGTTTTTATTCTCCTGTACCAGCTGCCAGATGGTAATAGTTCAAAAAAAAGGTTGCCCAGGATGAGATGGATCTTTAAGAATGTTTTGAACTTTCTTAAGGCAGCTATAAAGGTCGTCCAAAAAGGGGAGAGGGCAACCCATGATCCTCTAGGCAATGACGTTGACCCTCTGGCACACTGTCCTATCTGCCACTGGGCAACTGGCAAACGAGACACAGGCGCAGTAAGTTAAAATACTCTCTATGGTACAGCAGTAGAAGGTCAACAGCAGTTTTCCAATCAGTTGTTGTTTCCCAAAAAGTCTCAGATTGTATCATCTCTGCTGGGCCCTTTTGACCAGGGCTGCAAGTCAGGTCCTTATTTTATGACAACACCCAGAAATGTAAAACTGGCCACTTGCTCCACTCGGTCTCCATTCCTTGTCTTCAAGGAGGGGGGAGAAAGTCTACTTGCCTTTTGGGGCAGCCATGACTTGGATGAATAAGAATCTTCATAGGTATTAAGCATATATTTTTTTACCATAAATTATCCTATTTGGGTTTAGGTTTAGAATGCAAATAAAGGCACCCTGAGATGGACTAAGATGGACTAACCACAAAAGTTAAGACAGCCGCACGCCGAGCTGGCCTCAGTTCTTCATTCAGTGAGTAGACTCGGACCTTCACTGTAAAGGTAATTCAAAATGGTTATTCAAAATTGGAGCAGTGTGGTGGTCTAGAGGTGGAGCTCTTGCCTCACCCTCAGGAGGCTGTGAGTTCGATCCTAGGGAGAGGCAGATATTTCTCTCTCTGAGCCCAATGAGAATAGAACAGAATAGAATAGAGTCAAGTAGAATGTAGAGTTGAGTTGAGTAGAATGTAGAGTTGAGTTGAGTAGAGTGTAGAGTTGAGTCGAGTAGAATGTAGAGTTGAGTTGAGTGTAGAGTTGAGTTGAATAGAGTAGAGTCAAGAAGAATAGAGTCAAATAGAGTGTAGAGTACAGTTGAGTAGAGGGTAGAATAGAGTCAAGAAGAGTAGAGTATAGAGTTGAGTTGAGTCGAGTCGAGTGTAGAGTTGAGTCGAGTAGAGTGTAGAGTTGAGTTGAGTAGAGTAGAGTCAAGAAGAGTAGAGTCAAATAGAGTGTAGAGTACGGTAGAGTAGAGGGTAGAATAGAGTCAAGAAGAGTAGAGTAGAGTAGAGTAGAGTAGAGTAGAGTAGAGTAGAGTAGAGTAGAGTAGAGTAGAGTAGAGTAGAGTAGAATAGAATAGATGAGATCTGCTGAACAAAACTCCATATTGGCAACAAGAAAGGCATCCAGCCAGTAAACTCCCAGCTCCATTCAATTGCCCAGACTCCAACCCGCAAGGGATTATGTGGTCGTTAAAAGATGACAATGAAAGGGATAATAAAAATTCTAGGCTTCCCGTTCTTAATCAGCTGGTGGATTTGGGTTTCGTTGAATGAAGAGAAGTTAGAGCTGGGACCAAGCTCTTAAAAGCAAGACGAAGGAAAAGAGCTTACCGGATTGATCTGGAGTGTAAACAGGCTTGTCCGTCTGAACAAATAAAAAGCCGTTGTCGTACATCAGCAGCATTTTCTTCTGCCTCGTAAAATGGGGCGACGTTGCTTCCAGATATACAGACTCCACTCGTTTCTGGGGATCATCGGTCCTTAAGTCCTTCGGCTGAACCTAGATTTGGGATGGAAATGCTTTTAAAAATGTATGAACAGTACCAACCAACCGATCGACTGTGCTTTATAGCAATAGCGATAGCAGTTAGACTTATATACCGCTTCATAGGGCTTTCAGCCCTCTCTAAGCGGTTTACAGAGTCAGCATATCGCCCCCAACAATCCAGGTCCTCATTTCACCCACCTCGGAAGGATGGAAGGCTAAGTCAACCTTGAGCCGGTGAGATTTGAACAGCCGAACTGCAGAACTGCAGTCAGCTGAAGTAGCCTGCAGTGCTACCACTGTGCCACCTCGGCACCTTTATTACTTACCGTTAAGGTGACCGAGCCTTGGAAGCGGTTGGCTGGAGTCATTGGGATGGTGCCGAAGGCATATGTAATTGTTTTATCCGGGTAGCTTTTGATCGAGATTGTGACCTGGAATTCTTGGGTGTATCCATAAGCTTGAATTACTACTTGCTCAGAGGCTCCAACACGGATAAACTTAGGGGCGGAAATGACATATCTGCAATAGAAAAAGACACCCTCAGCGTTCCGGTTCGTTAGGTCTTTTCAGGAGGCATCTCTAGAGCTTAGTTTACCTTGGAGGACTATCAGAATGACAGGGTTGGAAGCAGTGGTGGGTTTCAAAAAAGTTTGGAACATACTCTATGGGTGTGGCCTCCTTTGTGGGAGTGACTTGCCGGCCATGTGACCTGGTGGGAGTGGCTTGCCAGCCATGTGTTTTCTTTCTTGCTCTCTCTCTCTTTCTCTTTCTCTCTGTCTCTTTCCTTCCTTTTGTCTCTCTGTCCCTTTTTTCTTTTTTTCTTTCATCTCTCTCACCCTTTTTCTTTCTTTATTTATTTATTTATTTATTTATTCCTTCCTTTCTTTCTCTTTCTCTCTCTCTGTGTCAGTCTGTCTATCTGTCTGTCTGTGTGGCAGTGGTGGGTTTCAAAAAAATTTGGAACCTCTTCTGTAGGTGTGGCCTGCTTTCCGGGTCCACTGGTAGAACCTCTTCTAACCGGTTCGGTAGATTTGACGAACCGGTTCTACCGAATAGGTGAGAACTGGTAGAAACCCACCTCTGGTTGGAAGGGACCTCGGAGGTCTTCTAGCCGGGCTCCCTGCTCAGGCAGGAGACCCCATACCCGTGATGCCAAACCTATATGGCAGAGGTGGCACACAGAGTTAAGCTTTACAGTTAAGCTTTTCAGCAGTATCAATGTGTTGAAAGCATCTTTAATTGCCGTTCAGGAGCATTGCGTAACGTGCAAAACAAAAACTTAGATAACTGGAAGGCGAGGAAGAATTGTCATGTGGTCTACAATCTTAGCTGGGCTGACTCCGAAGTCAGCAAGTTCCTTGCAGACAAAAGAATTAGATGATTTTCTACAGTATTGCAAAAGAAGAAGAAGGGGACAGCAGAGAAGGAAGTGGCTGGATGGAGTCACCGAAGCAGCTGGCGTGAGCTTCAATGGACTTCGGGGGATGGTAGAGGACAGGAAGGCCTGGAGGAACGTGGTCCATGGGGTCGCGATGGGTCGGAACACGACTTCGCAACTAACAACAACAACAGTATTGCTTGGGTTTGAATAGTTTATTAATCGGTAGCAGCCTTCGGTGTTTAATCGTGCCGGCCACATGACCACGGAGACGTCTTCAGACAGCTCTGGCTCTTCGGCTTTGAAATGGAGGTGAATATTGCCCCTAGAATCAGGAACGACTAGCACAGATGTGCAAGGGGAACCTTTAACTTTACCTAGTAAGACCACACCTGGAGTACTGCAGCCAGTTGTGGTCACAACTTAAAAGATGTTGAGACTTTGGCAAAAGTGTAGAGAAGAGCAACTGAGAGGATCAAAGGATTGGGGGACTAAAACATATGAAGAATGGTTGCAGGACTTAGATAGGGCTAGTCTAAAGAAAAGAAGAATTTGGGGAGGCATGATAGCAGTATTCAAATATTTGAGGGGCTGCCACAAAGAAGAGGGCGTCAAATTATTCTCCAAAGCACCAGAGGGCAGGAGAAGAAACAAGGAAATGGAAACCAATCAAGGAGAGAAGCCATCTGGAATTAAGGAAAAACTTCCTAACAGTGAGGACAATTAACCAGTGGAACAGTTTGCCACCAGAAATCGTGGGCACTCGCATCCCTGGAGGTTTTTAAGAAGAAGACTGGACAGTCACTTGTCTGAGATGATATAGGTTCTTCTGCTTGAGGAGGGGGCTGGACTAGAAGACCTCCAAGGTCCCTTCCAAATTCTATTCTACTACAATAGAAAGAGGGCTTGCAGATTACACCAAGAATAAAATCAAGACATAACCGTTTACATAAATAGGAAAAGCGCAGAGAAGTTTCTGCAGTTTCATAATACTACAGAATTCCAAGGGGTCCTGATTGTGAAAAACCACAGTCAAGGTTTGCCTAGGAGCAGAAAACTAAGTCTTCATTTGTGGGCATCTCTTGAAGGGAAAATTATAATGGAAATATTGTTGACCCCATTGGGGTTAAATTTGGCCTAAATCCTGAGATGGAAGGAAGAATAATTCAGAAAAGAACCAACCTGAAACTAAGGAAAAAATTTCCTGACAATTAGAACAATTAATTAATGGAATGGAATTGCCTTCAGAAGTTGTGAGCGCTCCATCACTGGAGTTTTTTAATGAGAGATTAGACAGCCATTTGTCTGAAATGGGATAGGGTTAGGGTTGAGCAGGGGGTTGGACTAGAAGACTTCTAAGGTCCCTTTCATCTCTGTTATTCTGTTAACTTGCCTCACAATTTCAGCTTTGCATTTCCAAATGGCTTCTAAAATAGAACAAGCTCTCTATTAAAAAAAAAAATTCATGAGTGTTGATGTTGGCTAACTTAGGGAGGAAATTTGGCCGTTTGTTAGCCTCACAAAGGAGATAACCAGGGAAATGAAAGTTTTCTCAACATCTTATTGGCCTAAGAAACGATTACAAAAGGTTTTAAAACTCAAAAACAGAAGCCGTAACTCAGCTCAATCTATATATATAAAAGTGAAATGCCACTCTTGCATCATCACAAAATCTCCAGAACCATAAAGCCTACAAACTTGAAATTTGACACATATGTCCCTCTGGGCTCCTAGGTGGTCGCTAAGAAAGGATTTTTCAAAATGACCATCAGGTCATTAGTATTTTTCATATTATTATTAACATGATCTGATGCTAAGAAGTTAGACATTCTACTCGCCCTCCCCACCTGAAAAGAACTCTGTTCCAACTGCACTTGGGCGTGGGCTAATTGGTCTGCAGCCTGGGAGTTTAGACATTCTACTCCCCCTCCCCACCTGAAAAGAACTCTGTTCCAACTGCACTTGGGTGTGGGCTTATCCGGTCTGCAGCCTGGGAGTTTAGACATTCTACTCTCCCTCCCCACCTGAAAAGGAGAGAAGAGGATAACATAGGAGAAGCCTCTGTGGGGCAATCCTGGGGGAGAGAAAGGGAATAGGAGAGGATCAATGGGACCAGCCTGAGGGAGAGAAGGGGAATAGGAGAGGAGAGGCTTCTGTGGGGCAAGCTTGAGGGACAGAAGGTGAGAGGAGAGGCCAATCGTAACTACTCATTAATGTTCAAGCTTTAACTGTCAATTTACCAAGCCCAATCATCTAGTTCTGTAACGAAGCACAGGTATCCAACCAACCAGTATTTGCATAAAACCACAAATCATTTTTTATTGCGATTGCACCAAATCTACTCTAACCGTGCAAGTTAATCCTCAGGTTAAGTCCTCTTTGAATTAACCCTCCCCAACAATTAAGCTTGGTTTCATTCCGACATCCCTTTGCAACAAGCCCAGTAATTACTTACGTTTGATCCTGAGCCAAACCTCTTCCGTAAAGCATCAAAAATAAGAAAATGCTTAGATAAATCATGTCTCCATAGACTGGCTAACCCAAGCTCTGAATGTCCTTGCCTCAACTCCCCTCGATGAAATTTGAGAGCAAATTGATGAAGAAGTTAATCATTCAACAAATCAGCAAAGAGAATATTTAGTTCCTTATAGAAAGAAGGAAAAAAAATCCCCTTTTTCTACTCGGAATAATGAAAGGGAACTGATTACACATTATTGGTTGCGTAGTTGAAAACCGCCCAATATCACTTGGATACTGAGTTGGGTGTGTGTGTGTCTAAATTTAAAAAAAACCAAACAAATATAAAATAGATAGTTCTACTGCCTAGGTGAGACACCCGTCAGCCGTATTTCTGTTTGTAAACTCAAAACGTTTAGGTAACCAGGCAAAACATTTCCAATTAGAATACAGCTCATCTCTCCGGAATCCATACTGCATATCGGACTTTAACACAATTGTGCAAGTCCAGAGATATTTCACAAGAAGAGTCGTCCACTCCTCTGCTCACAACAGAATCCCTTACGCCACCAGACTTCAAATTTTGGGCTTGGACAACTTAAGAACTATGCCACCTTCGGTTTGACTTAAGCGTAGTGCATAAAATTATCTACCGCAATGTTCTACCTGTCAATGACTACTACAGCTTCAACCGCAATGATACTCGGGCAAACAATAGATACAAACTCAAGGTGTAAACCGCTTCAAACTCGATGGCAGAAGATACGACTTCAGCCACAGAGTGGTCAATGCCTGGAACGCTCTACTGTTACATCCTCAAACCCCCCACAGCTTCAACCTCAAACTGTCCCCCGTGGACCTCACCCCATCCCTAAGAGGTCCGTAAAAGGGGCGTGCATAAGCGCACCAGCGTGCCTTCCATCCCTGTCTTACTCTCCCCATTTATTCGTATCCATTTCACGAATTCATCATCTTGTATGTACTTATATCTATTATCTTATACATTCTTTGAGTTGAGTTTGAGTTTATTGGTCTTGTATGCCGCCCACTCCCGAAGGACTCCGGGCGGCTTACA